TCGGAAACAGGACTGCAGAAGAGAAGGCAGGCTGGACAATGTGTGTGTGGTGAGAACCATGTGACCCCTCCGCCCCAGAATTCTTGGGCTCATAATTCCCTACATCACTTCTGCAAGCACCCCCACAGTCACTTCCACCTCAGTTTCCACTTGGGGTGGACAGTGGGAAATGTAAGGCATGCTGGGTCCCCTAGTTTCCTGACTTATGCATGTGTGGGACACGCCAGGGTCCTGGCTCCCTTCAGACAGGGCTCTGAGTCATGATGTTCACACCAGGATGTGCTCCTGCATTGCAGAAGGACAGAGCAGCGGCCCAGAGGTGCCGACACCTAGTCTAGCTGGCCACAAGTCAGTTTCAACCTTAGTTTTTAGTTTCTTAGTCTACAAAATGCGACCGTATCCTAGCTAGATCATTCTTGAGTTCTGTTTGGTTCCCGTTTCTCTTGTGGATTTGTGTTGGCCGTGGGAATGACTCTGAGGGTAGGCAATGACCCATTCATTATCAGCTGCATTGCTAATGCTATTTGCTCTGTTGATTTTGCTTGAATGATTCGTCCTCTTGCAACATTAACCAGGGAGATGCTTGTGACGGTGGTCACATGCGCTGTGCTTAGCATTAGCGTGGCGCACATTCCTACCTCTGTACCAGGGCACATTTTTCACCACTCTAGACCATTATTTAAGCATCTATCAGCCACTTTCTGTATGGTGCACTGGTGTGGAAACAATCATGGGGGAACATAATTCCTGCCCACAAGCAACGTACAGTGAACTGGGGTTTTTTGATTGGTCTGTTCTCTGCAGCCCTAATAAAATCCCTGTATGTTCTGACACCTTTTCTTTTTTTTTTAGATTTGTCTTTATTCATTTATGCATACAAGAACTGGGGTGTAGGCCAGATGTGTTGGGGGGGTGGGGCGAGAGGATTTGTTAAGGGGAAGGATGTCCTAAAGACATCCTGCAGAGTCTTGTGGACTCCACTCCCTACTCCAGCAATTGGAAACTACAACTCCCAGCAGCACCAGGGAGAGAACTGGGAGGACCCAAGGGCGGAGCTAAGCAGCATTCTGGGATGTTGGGGGATAAATAGGGCGCCATTTTGTCCAACTCTTTCTCTCTCCCTCGGAAACCGCTCTCGGGATCATGTGACTGGGGGCTATCAGTTAGTTTGTTACCAGAGCTCCAAGTTAGCCCAGCCGGTAAGATATTCTAGTTGCCTTATATCTCTTTTTCCCTGGGATCTTCCTTTTCCTTTCCCCTTTTGTAAATAAACCCATTATTGATCCTTTTGTGTGTGCCTGTAGTACAACTGAATTTTAAGTGTGCGGGTGAGGCCCACAGACAGGCAGCCCGGTTCATACTGGGGTGTCTGTAACAGATTCACCAGAGACAGATTGGGGGAGCAGAACAGGCAAATCCACTCAGGCACTGCTGAGGGGAGCTGTGGGGGGACAGGAGAAGTCTGCTGCACCCTGTAGAGCACACCCTGGCCGGGATCCAACTTGTACTGCAGTGCCTTCAGATAGCTTGATAGTGCTGAGACTTTAAACCCTGTGCCACCAGGGAGGCCCTGTTCTGGCACCTCTTATATCTTCTTTTTTAGGCATGATAGCCTGGAACAGGTCAGCCTCTTCAGTGACTTGTAGTAAATCTTGTACTCATTTGGGGTCAGGAAAGTCTATGCCGATGATCCTGTAAAGATGACATGTACATCTTTTAGGGCATAACATATTTCTGAATGATGAGAAATTAATTTTTTCTTTGGCCACCACATTGTAGGACAGTCGTAAGTGAAGGAAGCACAGGTTGAGCTTGACACATTTAGAGAAACCTTGAAGTCAAAGAAGAACCTTTAAATCTACTGAGAATGGTTGTTGGGATAATTTAAGAGGCAGTGTGGGTGTTTTATATCCTTGAAAATTCTTTGAATGGCAACTTTATACACTAGAGTGTACTGAATTTTCCCTGACTCAGCTATTTGTCAAAGACCAAGAATTGTTTTATTCCTGAATTAAGAAGTCTAAACCCCGCCACGTCTGGCTTTCCACACCTTGCCTCTTTAAGACGTGGGAGGGAGAGGTGTTACTTCAAAAATATGGTTTCTCTGGGCACCTGAGTTCTGTGGCCTTCTGTTTATAAACATCTTCCAGTCTTTCAGTCGGGGAGGTATCTGCTGTAGAAGGAGCAAAGAACTTACAAATTCACTTCTTTACGTCCAACAGATAGTACAGGCGGTAAGCGCACGTGGACATTACTCTCGTGCTGCTTCTTACATGGGAGGCTGTGCGGGGAGAAGCAGGGCTGCTCTCGCGACTCGCTCAGCACGCGCCTCTTCCTCTGGCTCCATGCTAATGCTAGGTCTTCCAGTGACGTATGCAGGCTTACTGAGTTTTCCTTCTTGAAATCAAAGCCTTTCTAAGAAACAGTTCCGTGTTTCACGTCAGGTAATTTCATTGTGAACGTGTGTCATGCTATCTGTGCTGAAGTCTTCATGCTAACCTTGAAGTCATCAAAGCAATGAGTTTTAAAGGCCATCATGCACCATAATCTTTTTTTTTTTTTTTTTTTTTATTATTTACTATTCTTGGTACCAGTGTTTGAGTTCTACATTCTCATTAGTATGTATAGTACTGGGCTTGATATAAAAGTAGCTTGGGACACTTTGTTTTTGCTTTACATACCATGAGACATCTTCACAGCAACAAAAGAGAACAGCCCCATAATC